AATTTTCACATCAGTACAGATATAGTTCATGAACTGACCCCGCATAAAATTAGCATATGGGGGAAAGAAAACAAAACAAACAAAACCTGCTTTTGAAATGATACTTCTTTCTTTGCTGAACAAAAATAAAGATTAGCAATTGACAATATGTTAAAGAAAAAAAAAAAGGATTCCATCTGATTTTTTTTTCCCTGACACCCATTTGCTATATAAAAGAAATCTAAACCAGGTTCCCCTTCAATGCATTAAGTGTGCTTTTAGGCTAGCAGAGGAGGGCAATCATACAGGAAATAAAAACACAATGCAGATTTTGTTTTGCAGCACCTTTCCCGCTAACGCGCCAAGGCATTTCCCAGTACACGCTAACATAAAATAAAATACACTAAAAATAAAACCAAGCTAAAAATAAAAATAACAGAGGAAATGAACAATGTTCCCCTGGTTTGATATACAGCCTGTACCAAGGAAAACAGAAGGGACTGTGGCTCCGTTTTAAAATCCAAAGGAAAAGAGTAAGCATGAAAGTTAGAGAGTTTGAGCCTGGTGGGATGGCAGTCCTGATGAGGCAGCACTCCCAGTCCCAGCTACAGTGAGAGCTTGGTCTTTGCCATGACTGAAAAGGGACAGACCCAAGGGACGAGGCAGCTAACACAAGAGTGCCCTGGGTGAAGTTTCCTCTCAGGCACATCCTTCTCTGCTGCTGCGAATTTTCAGGAATCTCATTAAGACTTTGATTTCAGCTTGACCGCCTGAGGCTGTGATTCGTCCGAGAAAGCAAAAACAAGCCCTGGGCTGCTGGCAGGGCCAGTGGAGAGGGAATCCCACAGCCCTGTGCTGCCAGCGCAGCATTAGGGAGGGATCCCCGAGCTGTTTCTGCCTGCGGTGCTCTTCCAGCCTCCAACACCTCAAGAGGGTCCAAAAGGAGAAGGATACTCTTTCTTCAAAATAAGGATGTACTTTTGCTAGTGTCAAATACCTGCTGCATCCTGACCCAGAGACGGCTGCATTTCATTAGCAAAAAAACACAATGTCTCTACTTTCCTGAGCCTGCAAAGCACTTAGATCCTTCAAGATGAAAGATGCTACAGAAATACCAAGCCACTACATTTATTATTTTGGCAACGAGCATTTCTAGACTGAATTCATGAAACCTCTTTTTGCTGTTGCTTTTGTTACTTGGCCTTTTGGCAGCTATTTTTAGGAAAACGCTTACATATACATGCTGTGTGAGGCTGGGTGCGCGTGAATGGGCATTTCAGTTCTTTACTGGAATAACACAGACTTGATCTTTTACAGTAAAATGGATTTAAACCTCTTAAGATTTTATATTCCTGGATTTTAATAGGGGATTTTTTTCCCCCCAGACTTCACCTGCCTTTATACCAAACCAATTATTAGCCCTTAAAAATAAAAATACTTCAGTATATTCATTCCGGAGATTAAATAGATTTTTAAAATAAAATTAGGGGAAAAAATACTTGGGCACTTCCCAATTTAACAAAGGCAGATGCTTTATTATTAGCAAGACTACTGGAGATTATAAATCAAAGCCTAACTCTCTCTAAGTATTCAAGCCTGTTGTCCAGAAAAGAGAAACTATAAATAGCATTTCCTACTCTTCAGACTCGGGGGATCCAATTTACTCAAGACTGTTTGCCAAGGGCACTTGTTTAACCTACAATTTAACATGCTACCACATCACAGCTGATTAGAGCAATTTACTGCGTGGAGGCCAGTAGCCTACTTTTGGGGTGCTTCAAGCTACCTCCACGACTGAGGAGGGTTAAGACTAATCACATGGTAATTCCTGCAACCTGGCTGATCATGAGGAGCAGACACTTTTTACACCACCATAATTTGAATGTTTTCAACCCTAGGCCTATCCTCTATGAACAGCTGGCACCTCATGACACCTCCGGCCAGTGGAAACTGCTCTTATGCCAGGTTTATAGGTGGAGATGGGAAAATGTAGGCCTCCATTTAGGATGACTGTGCTGTGCGTCACTAGGTTTTGTTGCCCTGGACAGATTGTGAAGGGTTTGGCCCTCCCAGTGGAGGTCATGCTTACAAAAGAGCTCAATACTCCTATAAAGCCCTGAAATAAGGGTGTAATTTTTCAAAGCGCCTCCAGGCGAGGAGATCTAGAATTGGGGGGCTTATCTTCTCCACAAAACAGCCCCTTGCCTGACTTGTCCCAATACCAGAAAAGGGGAAGGCAGCCAAGACCCACATCCTCAAAGCCACTGCTGCGCTGCCAACCTCAGTGCTGCCGGCAGAGGAAGGCAGAGGGACCAGCTGTGAGACGGTGGGGAGGAGAAGAGCAGTGGAGGCCCTGCTGGCCCTGCCATACTGCAGCTAAGCCATAAGCCAAGGCCATGAGGGAGCCCACAGGACAAGGGCAAGACAGGGAAGAGAACACCTAAGGATCACGTTGGGTCCTTTTGTGCCAATTGGAAAAGGACAGCAGAAAGTCTGGTGTGCGCTGGAGATATGGAAACAGGCTTTGTATGAGCCTGTGTTTCCTGGCTAACAGGCTCCAGTGTCTGTGAAGGTTAAAGTGGAGAGCTTTTCCTGTAGCTGGGATGTTTACAAGATCCCTCTCCTGTGTGGAGTCACTAGTATCTGACGGAGGTTGATCTGATAGAGTTTTCTCTCAGACTTTCTCCCCTCTTGCCAGCTATGCGCTTTTATGAAACTTGACTGACATTTGAGATTGCTGCTCTTCTGTCAGATTTGATCAAAACTGACTCCTGACTTCAGAGTTACTGGGCTGGGGGGCAGGGGAGAGAGGCACATGCACCACACATGATGCAGCAGATGCTAAGTGTTGCATTTTTACCAGAGAAGGGCGCTTTCTGCAAGCTGAGAGTAGGCACATGAATAGTTCCCCTTGCCCAGCTGCTGGCTGGTAACTTGTCAGCAGTGGCCACCTGGCTGCAGGTCTCAAACCAAAATCTACTGTTACAAGTGTCTTCCCTGAAATCCTTAAACGGAGACTGAAAAGAAAAAATCATTTACTTTTCTGTGCATTTCTCTCTGTATGTACTTTTTGCTCTATGTAGGTGATGCTCACCTACGCCTGGTCAGTCTTTTCCTCCTTGCAGTCATTGCCCGTCTTATGGCGGGGGGGGGGGAGTTCTCAAGCAATGAGAAAGCAGAATTATTTTAAAAGATGAGAAAATATAATTGAAAAACCACATCAGTTGGCCAGGGTCTTGGAAGCATGTGTGTACATAGCTATAACGGCTACCAGGAGGAAACTGACTGCATTTCAGGTGGACACTGATCCTTTAATGTAGGGTTGAGAATAATATTTATATGCTGACTCACTAAGATTTATGTTTTAGCATAAATCACGCATGCACATTTGAAAAAAAAGGCAAAAAGTGACTGCAGGATATTCATGGCTTCCAGAACTCTACATAAATCAGTTGTACTATGACCCCACAAGCTTTTAGACAAATACACGCATACTCATTCATTATCAGGGATAGTCGTCCATGCAGCCCATCAGCAGAAGAAAAATAATGATAGTAGCAGTGATTTGATGACCCAAGGCAAAGCCCTTAACTCTTAACGCCCCCAAAAGCTTCAGGAAAGCTTAGACCCAACCTTAGCATTCCCAGTCACATAACTTGAGTAATTGACTGGACCAGAGCCCTGGATCTGGATACTTGTAACTTCAGGGAACCCGGGATCTGAATGCAGAGCCAGACTTAGCAGGTCTGGCTGTCATCAGCCCCACTATTTCTCTAGGACAAAGCTGAGCACCTTCCTTTAATTCCTTCTTGGGTCTGCGTCTCTGCTCTGCACGTTCTTTCAGCCTTGTTTATTTAGTCTATCTTGGATGACAGTTTTTCCCCCCTGTCCTTTTGCCAGCGCAATTTACTTGGAACACAGTGCCCTGGTCCGCAAGTACTGCTTCTCATTTACTGCTTTATGAAGACATACAGACGCCTGCAAGCACCGGACGTCAATAAATTAAAGTGCTGTTACTACTATTATTGTTATCGCTGTATTATGGTGGGGGCAGCGTGAGACTTGGTGTAGGGCCTGGGATGGATGGGAAGCCAGAGAGAGGAGGAGGAGGTGGTGGTGCACGCAGAGGTATTCGAGGAATCTTCTGCGGCACCCAAGTCTGAACAGGGCAAGCGAGGCTCCCGCTCCCCTCCTTCGGGAAACGGGCCTGGGACACGTGGTGGTGGTGTGGAAGGAAACCAAAACCCAGGCGGAAAGACAGGAGTCTGCAAAGCTCTCGCCAGCAGGCTGTTTTACAGAGTCACCCTTGCAGTGTTTTTCCTCTGCGTTAATGAGAGCAGTGAAGGTGCCAGACATGACCTGGGAAGCTTCATCTCCATCTCCCAAGGAGCTCGGCTAACCCACATAGTATGGCTGGGAAGGATGGAGATGGATCTGACTAGCCCGCTCCGGGGAGGAATGCAAACACAGCCTGGACTATAAACCGCTGGGTATTTTAGTTGATGAAACTTGGTATTATGAACAGAGGTGCTCGCGTGCTTGGAGTTCAGCACATTCTTGGGTGCCATGCTAAGGGGAGGCCCAAACAGGGCTCTGATCCTGCAGAATAAAACTGTATGGCTTCATCACATTAAAGACTATTGTAAAGTACATGCCAAAGAAACCTAAATTTTAGCTTCAGTGATGGCCTTTAATGATAATTCCTCATCAAAGGGAGCTTGATTTCCCTATCTGAAAAGGTCCTTTAATGTAGTTCTATGCAGATACACAGGCCACACACAAAATCTATTTTCCGGTGTTACCCCCACAGTCTGATAAGCAAACTGAGTCTCATTACACTAGATTTTTCAATTGCCTCCCAAAAGCCACCTGAGAATAGTCATGAAACAACTCAGCGAGTAGACAAAACGTGCCTGAACGTGAGTGAGTAGAGCTAAAAATGTCAGAAATAAAGTACAAAGCTCTGGAAGAGAGATGGGCTCTGCATGCCCATCGGAGAAGGGCCCACAAGGATGCAATACCTGAAGGTCTGGTGGCCGTGTCCCTCCTCATGCTCCAGGAGGCAGGTGGTCAGGTCAGAAGAAGCAGAGTGAGCAGATGTCCGCAAGGCCACAGCTGCGATGCCCACGAGTGGGGAGGAGAAGTTGAGCAGCACTGTAGCGATCGGGTGGGAAAGGTACTCCTGGTTGTAGGTCACATTGATGACGAGCGGGTTCTGCTGACATGACAACTCATGTGTCCCTAGGGGAGGGGGGATCAAAAGAAAGAAATCAGTAGCTCAGCTCCAGTGATATTTGCTTTGCTTCAGATTTTTCCCATTGCTAAGATCCTCCCCTCCTGCTTTCCTATGCCTCCAGACACATCAGACCAGCTTGTAGCTCAGTGCGAAGCTTGGGAAGCAAAAGCAGCTGGGAGCTGGGATGGGGACACCAGCACCTAACCCAGTGGAAGCCCAGCCATGCTGGGGGTTCCTGGTGTCCCTGCCACGAGAGCAACAGCCCTCGTCGTCTTTGACAGCAGTCAGGAGCCAACCGACACAACCTTGCTCACATCTGCTGCATTTGTGGGCTCCCGAATCCAGCCCTGACAGGAAGGGAGAGGAATTCGGTGGCCAGAGAGGGAAAGTGGGGAGACACAGGATTGGTGCTGCAGCTCGCAGGATACTCACCCAAAGAGCGGGTCC